TTAGATAAAGATATCTATGCATAAAAAAAACCCACTAATTCATAGTGACTATGGACAGGAGTTTATCAGAAAAAAATTAAGTAGGACTACAGAAATCGGAAAACTGCTGTCCATTGTTTATATTTGTAGTCTCAGATAAATGTATACATTTTTTTAAAAACTGCACTATGATAGAGAAATTGCTTTTGTGTTAATCTCACTTCCAAAAATTATGACTTTCATATAGTCAAAGGAAACTAGTACCATATTTGCTCTATTTTAATCTATGTTGGAACATAAAAATATGACTTAATTTGATATTAAATTTCATTCGCAAATACAGTATACCAGAAATTAATGAAAATAATAAGATAACTTTCCATTCACTGTGAGAATTCAAAAACATGACAAACAAAGGAAACATTGTGTGGGAGTAGACAAACACAAAAATATTTTTAGGTATTTCCACATTAAATAATGTGCTCTACACATAATGATTATTAATTTTGATGGAATAAGGATATCTCAATGCTATATTCTTTCTGAAAGATTGGCATTTCGACATTGAGCTATAAAAGAAATTTAAGTTCACAATCAAATAGTTTTTCCTACAGGATCTATGTCCCAAGTTTCATTGAAATGTGATGATTCATACTTGATATATCAGTGTAAAAGCTGAAAATTAACTAATTATGCAAATTAGGTGATTAATGCACAAATATTCACCCAAAAACTGATTTAGACTCTGCATATGCTAAAGAATCTATGTGCCAAGTTTCATTGAAATGTACTTAATAATTATGCGAATTAGGAAATTAATATGCACAAATATTTAAACCAAAACAATTGATCTCTGCATAGTCCTAGAGTACCTATGTACATGTACCAAGTTACATTGAAATGTGATGATTAGTAGTTGAGATATCAGTGGAAAAGCTGAAAATTAACTAATTATGCAAATTAGGTGATTAATATGCATAAATATTTAATCTAAAACAATCGATCTCTGCATACATTATAGTCCTAGAGTATCTATGTTCAAAGTTTCATTGGAATGTGATTACTACTTGAGAAGCTGAAAATTAATTAACAGAAAAAAATTTAAATATG